GTAAAGCCCGGCCAGGTCTCGACCGGGACTCCCCCAGCCCGGGAGCCCAGCCCGCCCCATCACCTGCACCGGAGCTCACTTCCACACGCTAGCTTCCGACCCAGGTGCGCCACACCACGCTACGGCACCAACCTCTGCCCGACAGAAACGAGAAACCCGCATCAAAATATCATAAAACCTCGGGGAGACCCCTGGGGTGGGTGTTTGGCCCCAACCCCGCTCTCGCCTACCCAGCGACACCCCTCCGCCGGGGAGGTGCCCGGGGCTGGTGATCCGTGGCTGTTTTCAAACTCGTATCCGTAAGGGGAAGCCGCACGGGAAGGGGAAGCCCGGCTCGCTCGCTCGCCCGCCCGCCCTCCAAACGCCCTCACGGCGCGGCGGCGGCAGCCCCGCCGCTCCCTGCCTGCTGCTCCCGGGGCCGCCGGGGGGCCGGGGCACAAAGGGAGAGAGCAGGGAGCGGACAGAGCGGGCGCCAGGCCGGCGGGGAGCGGCGGGGAGCGGCGGGCAGCGGAGCGAGCAGGAGGGCGGGCGGCGGCCGCGGCCGCTCAGCGGGCTGTGCTGCCCTGCCCTATCCTATCCTATCCTGCCCGACGAGACGGCGCAGAGCAAGAGGAAAGGACCCCCCACACGCCGCGGGTACTCACAACAAGAAGCTCATGGCGATGGCGGAAGAGCGGGACCGGCGGCTGCCTGGGCTCGGCGCGGCTCGGCTCCCAATGGCAGCAGCGGCGACGGAGGGCGGGCGGGTGCGGGGAGAGCGCCGCGGGGCGGGGACACGGCCCGCCCGGCCGCCATCGCCCCCAGCGGCCCCCGCGCCGCCGCCGCTTCCTCCCTCACAGCTGCGGCGCTGCGGTATGGCCGCGCTCCTCTCGGAGCCGTGGGGCTCCCCGCCAGGAGTCCTTTCATGGCCCCAGGTACGGGCGTCCCCTCACAGCCACGCGGCCGTGCCGGCCCCTCAGAGGAGCCTGTGTGAGTGCCCCCAGACACCTCCATGGAAACGAGCACCCCCTGTCCCTCCAGAGGCCCCTTTCTCCCCTCAGGACAAAGGGGGCCAGGTACCAGCCCACAGGTCACCACCACCACCACTACCAGAAAAAGAACAAAAAAGTATTAACGGCGTTTCTGCCCTCCTCATCGAACTGTTTTTTAGCAAAACGTGACAAAAGGTACTGTACTATTTCTTAATATTTGTCAGCAATTTCTAACTGGGCTGGTGAGGGTAAGCAGTGGGCAAAGGAGGGATACCCCTCAGGTGACACTATGGGTGGCTGAGGTAAAATAAAATAAACTTCTGAGGTAAAAAACTGCAGTTTTTTTAAGAAACCCTTGGCAGGCAGATATAGTCACGTCCCAGTGCTCTTTATGGCAGAAATTGAAATCCCAGGGTATAATTTTCACACAAAAATCTGGCTCTGTTTAGGTCAGTAAGAAGCCAGATTTTGGAGAGGGTGCAGGACAGGCAGCACGACCTCCAGGGATTCCCTCCTGCTGCAAGAGAAATTTGCCATCCCAAAAACCTCGCACTGCTGCAGGTAGGCCAGAAAAAAGTCTGATGACTTTCAGATTTATCACGAAAATTCAGCACATCAAAAAAGGCTACAATCCCACACAACACTAAGTTTCCATCCAGCACATCAGGGGTTTCAGCTGTAAGGCCTTAGGTGGCCACACTGACAGTCATCTGCTTTCCTCACCTCACATTTTTAAATGCTGAAACTGCATTTTCCACTCTCTGTCCTTCAGACAGAGAGTCAAAATGCCCGGTCAGTGCATTTCTAAGTAAATTAAAATTACACCATTGTTTTTAGGACACCTTTAAAAGCCAGTGTTTTACTGGGCAGCAGTGGTGTAATTAAAAAGCATTTCACGATGTTTGCAATTCTCCTTTTGCCTGCATTAGCCAAAGCGTTGAATGGGTCTTGGAGCACTTTGTCACAGATGCTCTCAGACTTAAGGTGGCCACATAAATCGAACAGAAATACATCACTGATCTTTCTGGCACATTCCTGCTGGCACACAAAAAACCTCTGTTCCCACCGCTACACTTCCTCCTGCCCACAGAATGTTTCATTTTTTAAGCGGCAAGTTAAAATTAAACCTCGGTTGCTGCAGTAGGAAACACTTGGCCAGGAGAGATGCTTATGTAATGTGCAGGCTTTATGTCTCACATGAATATTGGGCTGCTGGGGATGGCTGAGGGTTACATGAAGGGCTCTCCTCGGCCCCAGGGGCTGGCAGGGAGCTGCAGCCTTATGTAAGGGGGAGGCACGGCCCTGGCCTCGCCTCTGTCATCTCCCTTTATCCAGAGCGCTGCAGAGCCTCAAGAATTCCTCTGCAAGGGCCCTTGGGCTGGCAAAGTGCTTTGGTCCTAGGCTGAAGTTCTTGGCTTTTCAGCACAGCTCGGTAAACAAAGAGCATTGCAACTGAAAGCGGCGTAAAAAACAAGATCGCAAAACTGAGCATGGATCGAGAATACAAAAAAAGGGAAACAGTGTTTTGTTTTTAAAAATAACACAGTGTATAAATAATTTTGGAAAACACTGTAAGAGAACAGAAGGTCAATTTTTCTTGACAGGAGATTACACAGAGGGATAAGGAATGTTTCCCAGTATAAGCACTTGTCTTAGCGTCACATCTGATGATTTTCTGATCATCATTTTCAGTCTGACCAGACTAAAGAATAGCTGGAATCGATTGTTCTTAACAACAACCGGTTTAACATTCTTTAAGAAAAAGGCATCCTGCCAGGTAGATAAATTCTCCAAGGCAGATACATTCTTGGTCCACAGCAGTATGGAGGCATCTCCTGGGATTTGCTGGCTTTGCAGAGGCAGATTCCCTCTCCTAAGGCGACTTCATTTCACAGCAGCTCTCTCAAGTGAATAAATGCAAATTCTCTTGTCCTAGGGTGACCTTTATAGTCTTCCATAGGTGCAGAGACTGTGTTCCAACATGTAACTAGGGAAGCTCTGAGATTCCATGGAAACCTCAGTGCTAGCAGTTGCCCAACAACACGGTGCCCTCTAAAGGTAACTTTCACAAACCTGACAAGCTGCCAGACAAGCAAGCAGCAGTGGGTGTTTCTTCCTGTACTTGGGAAGCAAGAAAATCAAAGGAAAAATGGGTGCAAGATGTGCATCCCTTCAAAAGATTTTTCCTTGCAGCCTGCTTGGCTCATAGGAGAATTCCCCTAACATTCAGGGATCTGCTTATTCAGGTAAACTGAAAGCACAAAAGCCAATCTAGATAGAGATAAGTGCTCAAGATGAATTCCTATGGTTATCTTAATTTTTTTTTCTCCTATAACATTTGCCTGCTTATTTAAAGAAGGTTTTGAAGAGAAACCTGGCAAGTAAGCCATGAAAGACTGGAATGTGAACCACTTGGGCACCAAGGTCAACATTCCTCTGAAAATGTGCATAAAACATGATTTACCTTGAAAACCCAGAAGGGTTGAGAGTGCTGCTGTCAAGAGGCTGTGCTGTTCTCAGGGCTGGAGTCTGTCATATGAAAGGCTGTCACAAGGAACAGTTTACAAAAGCATCAGCCAGCAACAAGAGGGTGACATAGAGTAGCTTGTTCACATTTTCAAACTGGTGATAAGAAATGTTCAAGGCTTCTGATAAATGAGTGTGTTGGCAACACAGCAAGATGAAAGACTTGTGCTGGAAAACCCAAGATTGTATTTTGGGTTTGATGGTCTGCAGTTGAAATTGCAGCTCTTACTTGGTGACCCCCAGGCTACAGCTACAGGGTGCTGGAAAAGAGAGGAGCATCCTGGCTCTCATGGTCTTCCTGATCCAGCTGGGGTCCTGCTGGATCTGGCCCATCCTCCTTCTGGATGCCTGCCTGAATACCCTGGATCTGAACCTCCACATTCCCTCCCTGGGTTCCTCCACCGTTGGGGTTTGGGATTCCAGCTTGCCTTTTCCTACTCATTTTGCTTCATCCTAAAAAAAAAATTTTCTGGGTTCAGCCGACCTACCTTCCCCACATGTGCACTTAGAAGCCAGTGCCAGCTCTTTCCCCCCTTATCCCTCTTGGATGCAGCAATGACAGCAGGACTGTCTTCCCAGACCACCTGGAAGGTTCTGCCTGTTGAGACCTTCAAGCAGGGATGGGAGTGAGGGGCAGAAAATCATCTCTCCTGGAAAATCAGTCTCCTGGGAAGGGGTGTAAAAGGCTTGTCCACGATGAAGCCCAACCTAAAACTTTTTTATTGAGAGAATCCATCTCTGCCTTGGGCTCATCCCCACAGCGTGGGCAGCAGGGGAGGAGGGGATTCCTCCCCTCTGCCCTGCTCAGGTGAGACCCCACCTGGAATGCTGCATCCAGCCCTGGGGTCCTCAGCACTGACAGGACCTTGACCAGTTGGCACAAGTCCAGAGGGGGCCACCAAGGTTAGTAGAGGGAGGGAGCACCTCTGCTGAGAGGAAAAGCTGGGGAAATTAGGATGTTTCCAGCCTGAAAAAGCTGCTGTGACCCAATGGCGGCCTTCCAGTGCCTGAAGGGAGCCTGCAAGAAAGATGGACGCTGCTTACAAGGGCCTGGAGTGACAGCACAAGGGGGAATTCCCACTGACAGAAGAGAAAGTTAGATGGGATATTGGGAAGAAATTCATCCCTGTGAGGCCCTGGCACAGGTTGCCCAGATAAACTCTGGCTGCCGGATCCCTGGAAGTGTTCATGTCCAGGATGGACGGGGGGCCTGGAGCAACCTGATCTAGCGGTACTTGTCTCTGCCCATGGCAGGGGTGGAACGGGATGATCTTTAAGTTCCGTTCCAAGCCAGGCGTTCTAAGCCAAGCTCTGTGACAGGAAAAGCCCGCGGTGACACCCGCCCGGCCCGTCCCGGGGCGCTGGGCAGAGCGGCGGGCACCCCCCAGCCCCGTGGGCAGCCGGCGGTGCCCGGGAAGCGCTTTCTGTGCAGCGCCTGCCGGGAAGGAAGGAAGGAAGGAAAGGAGGAGGGAAGGTCGAAGGGGCGGAGCCGCGATACCCGGCATGGCCGTGGCCGCCGCTGCCCGCCGCGCTCTGTGCGCGCTGCTGCTGGGCCGGGGCCCGGCGCTGCCGCCCGCGCTGCGCCTGCCCTGGCCCCGGGCCCGGCCCGGCCCGGCCCCGGCCCTGCTCTCGGCCCCGGCCCTGCTCTCGGCCCCAGCCCCGCTCCGCGCCGCCCTCCGCGCATACAGCCAGGTACGGCCGCGGGAAAATGGCGGGCACCGACCCCTGCGGGAAACCGCGGCCTCCCGCCCTCACCCGGGGCTCTTCTCGTGTGTCCGCGCCAGGTCACGGATGCTCCGTCCCACGAAGGCCGCCTGTCAGAGGAGAAGCCCGCCTCACCCAAGGCGGAGAGCGACACTGTCTACCTCATCAGGGCAGAAGGATTCCCGTTCTCGTGCACCGAGGAAGATGTCCTTACCTTCTTTGATAGTATGGGTGTTCGTTTTCCTGGCTAACTGTTCTGCATGCTGGTATTAGCCCATTAGCTCATGCCTGCTTAACAGAGGGAAAATATAGAGATCGTTAGCCAGAGAAAGATGAGGTCTTATTATTGCTGCAAAATTATTCACAACTGACACATATAAAGGGAATAATAATCAACATCCAAACTGCTGGACACTGACTAGAATCTCATCCTTATGGTCTCTTAAGTTTATTTGCACGCATCTTTCTCTTCTTAATCAGTGTCTCCAGAGCAAAGGCAATGCAAATCAAAGTGATGCTCTTACAGGCCATTATGGCTGGCCCAAACTCCTCTCTTTTTAAGAAACTGGAGGGTTTTACTAATTAGTTCAAACTGCAGTGTTGTTTTCTGATTCTTATTCATAGCTTCTATATACCTTTGTGGGGCTGATCCTCCGTACTGTCAGACAGTGCTGCATCCTCCCAGAGGTCAGATGCAAGTTTTTAAATTACTTGCTAGCCTGCCAAACTAAAGCAAGTCAGTGTGACGTTAGACTTCATGTTAGAAATGCAGGTGTGCTGCCCTTTGTTCTGCAGTGCTGAGGGGACAGGCCTCCAGCCCTGCAGTCAGGGCACAGAGATCCCCGTGTCTGATGCAGTGCTGTGTGTCCCTTGGTTTGCAGGCTGTAGAATTCGGAACGGTGAGAACGGGATACACTTCCTCTTAAACAGGGATGGGAGGCGCAGGGGGGATGCCTTGATCGAGCTGGAGTCCAAAGCAGACGTGCAGAGAGCCCTGGAGAAGCACCTGAGGTACATGGGCCCACGCTACGTGAAAGGTGGGTTTGGAGCAGCGGGAGTTAACATTGCAGTGAAATTCCCCAGGGAATGAATGAGAGCTCCTTGGGTAGTGCAGAGGCACAGCAGGGGAGCAGAGCAGCGGATCAGCCACCATTGGGCCAAAATGTCCTGGGCTGGCCAGGGAAAGCAGAGGGGCAGGAGCACGGAGCATGGGCTGGGGGAGGAAACAGCATGGAGCTTTGCGGGGGGAAGGCTGCCTTAGGAGAGGGAGGGAGTGCCTGCAGAGCGCTGCCTTGCAGTGCCCTGTGGGACAGCCCTCCATGGCTGCATTCCTTGCAGTGTTTGAGGTGCACGACAGCGACGTGGAGGGCTTGCTGCGCAGCCTGCGCGACGAGTCGCAGGCCATGAGCGACGGAGTGGTGCTGCTCCGAGGCCTCCCCTTCACCTCCACCGAGGAGGACATTGCAGATTTCTTCTCAGGTAACTCAGCCTGGGCCATGCCCTTCCTTTACCAGGCATTCACTTCCTTAAGTAGATGCTGTTGTTCCTCACAGGACAAGGCAAAACACGTGCAGCCTCAAACACCTTAAACACCCCAAGGAGTTGCTGTTCCCCAGAAGTCACACAGGCTTTCTGAGCACCCTGCAGATTTTCCCTGCCCCTCTGACCTTGTGCAGGTCTAGCCCAGGATCAGTACTTTCAGCACTCTGATTTTGGGCCAGGAGGAATTAAGGAAAAAAACTACCATAATAAGAGAAAATTTCAAGACCATTTGTGCTCTGGATCTATTTGCTGTCCAGAAGCTGGATTCACTTACTTGAAACCTCAGATTGATTCCTTTTTTAATTAAGTCTTCTGTTAAAACTTCCTTAAAGCAATAAAAAATGGAGTTTAAAAAAGCTACTTAGGCCATCGTGAGCAGTTGTTTCAGAACTATTTAGCTGCCCAATTAGCTTGTCAAAAACCAGAAAAATCAGAAGGGGAAAAAAAAAGGCTTTCTGAGCTATAGCACAGATTTCTGCCACAGTCAATGCCTTTTTCTCCCCTGCCATCTCTAGGTCTGAAAATCACAGACATTGCTTTCATTTACCGGGGAGACAGAAGAACAGGAGAAGCTTTTGTGCAGTTTGCCACTCCGGAAATGGCAGCTAAGGCCCTGCTGCGGCACAGGGAATATATGGGAAGCAGGTACGTGCTTCCCTGGACTTCAGGGGCCAGGAGAATGTGTTGTGAGGCACCTGTGGGACTTGGAGCTTCCTGCTGGGTGAAACAGCTCATCTCACACTCACAGTGTGATTCAGGGGGGCCTCCTAGAAAGTCTCCAGATTTTCAGGTATTCCTGAAGGCATTCTCATCCCAATGAAAAGGGGTGACAGCCTCCAGAGTGGGGAACACTAGATAGACGCAGTCTGCCCAGGCCTCAGTGTCCTGTGCCTCCTTCAGACACGTGATCCTACCAGATTTACAGCAGGTTCCTCCATACTTTGGGCAGTTTTGGCAGCTGCCCTCCTACCCTTCAGCCCATTGCCCAGCACAGCCTGTGCTTCCTCTCAAAGAATGTCTGTTTGAAGCACCTGCCTGGAGTCCATTCCCAGCAGAGACTGCTGGCCAGCACTGCACCATCTCCCACCTCTTGGGTGGCCACATCCCCTTGGGAATTACACCATTTTATTCACCTGAGCCCTGTGCCACACACTTGCTTCATAAGAACCTCCTTCCTCTCAAACAGAAGCACAAGGCCACCTTTTCCCAGAGTCATAATATAATTTAGGTTAAAAAAGGCCTTTAAGATCATTGTGTCCAGCTATTAACCTAAACAGTGCCCTGCCCAGCCCCAAACCCTGTCTGTAAGCACCACATCCACACAGCTTTTAAATTAGCTGTACTCAGAAAAGAAAACCCAAACAACCAAGGCTGCATTTCCCTGCTGAGTTTTCTGACTTCAGTAATCTATAAAACTTTATCTGTACCCCACATATTAAAAGTTTTCCAAACCTTACCTCTCCCCCTGCACACCAACTTCCTTTTATTTCCTTGCTTCCTGTTTCCAGACTGCATTTCTTTGTGTTTGTCAATCTCCCCGCTCATACTAAAAGCAAACAGCTGCTCCACAGGCAGAATTTGATTGATTAATTACTTAATTGATTTAATAGGACTTGCCTTTTCTTGAGTAGAGCCTAATTCCAAATCTACTGTTAATTTTTTTCTGTCAGAACAAGAGCTGACCTGACTCATCCATCTGGCTCACACACCTCCATTTCCATGTGATTAGCCAAGAAATTGAGGGGTTTTCAAATTTGCTGGCACCTGGCTCCCATCCATTATTCCTGGTTTTATCCAGAGCTGGCCTCCAGCAGCACCCAATGCTGAGTGGGGACTCGGAGGTGCTGAGCTGTCGGCCTGTACCCAGGGTTACTTCCCTTACTCTGGCTGCTCCCTTCAGGAAGGGTGGAAGGCCCCCTCCCTTGGATGTCCATATTTCCTTTTCATCACACTGTTCCTTCAGGGATCTGGAAATTGCCTGATTTAACACTGCTGGTGAAATCCCATCCATTTCATAGGTATATAGAAAATTTAAGGGCTCCACTGAAGTGTTTCCTGTGACTGTGTGCATCTTGTGCCTCTACCTGTTCTGAGACCTGTTTTGGGGCTGGGTAGGGTGATTTGGGGTTTGTAGGAATCAGTGCAGTTTTCAGAAGTGTAGCGAGTGAAAAGCAGCCTCAAAGAGAACTGTGCCAGTGAAATGAGTTAATTCTTCAGTGCCTTGGCAGGGCTCTCACCCCCAGTACCTGAGCAGGGCCAAGGCAGGACACAGCTGGAAGGTGCTTTCTCCAAGGCCTGAGTGCCAGGTGTGCCATGTGCTCTCTCCCTTTGGGCTGCAGGTACATAGAGGTGTACGTGAGCAGAAAGCACCAGATGCAAAGGCACATGCCCTACAGCAGGCAGCTGACAGCCTATTCCAGGGCCAGAAGAGAGTATGAGTCCATCTCTGAAGACAGGGGCTGGAGAGACACTGTAGGCTCCCACGCTGAAGGAGAAATCAGTGAGTCCCTCCCTGTTGTGAGTGCTCCTCGAGGCCCCTTTGTGTCATCTCACATACTCATGGCTATCACATGAGGGAGGGCAGCACTGCAGGCACTAGTAATGGTTTTTTCCCTCCTTTCCACAGAACTGAGCAGGGAAGGAACAGAAAGCTCCAGGAACGTTTCAGAGTCTGAGATTGCCTCATCACCACCACAGCATTTTGTCCACATGAGGGGTTTTCCTTCCCAAGCTAGTGCCCAGGATATAATAAATGTGAGTAACAGGCTATGGATGGAGTGTGGCTCTGTCATTACCTGTGAAAACCCTCAGGGATTGCAGGCTCCTAATTAATTGGTGTCTGTTGGTCCTCAATGCCATGTGGCTTTGAACAGCTCTGGCCTCAGGCACAGCACAGATCTGCTCCTCTCCATGAATAAGAAAGAATTAAGGCTGGCTGGGATGTCTCAATATCCGTCACTGGGCTTGAGGAGCCCTTGAGAATCTAAAGCAAATTTCAGAGTAGCTGACTGCACAGAAATGTTAACAGTGTACACGGAGCTGCACCGGTGTGTACAGAACATGGGTGCAGTGTGAGGACTTTTGTTCCTGGTGGGAGTTCCTATGCCAGGAGCTCACAGGGGGTGGGACAGCTGGTTGGGGACTGCCTGCGCTTCACCCAGATGGATCAGAGAGCCTTTTGTTGCTCAGGAGCTCAGACCCCCCTCCATGGGTTGGTGGGTTTTGGGAGTAAAAGCACTGAGTTTCTGGGGAACAGGGTGTGTTATTGTTGTTTCTTTCTCACCAAACTCTTTTCTCCTTTTCAGTTTTTTGCTCCGCTGAGGCCCACAAGGATCTTGGTGGAATATAACTCCCTTGGAGATGCCACAGGAGAGGCAGATGTGCATTTTGAGAGCCACGAGGACGCAGTCGCAGCGATGGCCAAGGAGGGGTCACAGATGGGTAAGTCAGAAAAAGAAAGGGGGTCCTACAGTCCTGGGATTGAGACCTCAGGGGGCTTGGCACAGCTGATCCAGCTGCTGTTGTACACTGTGCAGAGATCACTTGAGTGTGGCTTTCCAAGTTGTGATGTGCCGTGGACTTTGCAGAGAAAAAAAAAATCTAATGTAACACATGCAAGTGTCTGACCTCAGCCTACCTCTCTTCCCTTGCCCAGAGTGCAGTGCCATTGAATTGTTCCTGAACAAACATCCCAAGCGACAGGAGAACTGCTAGTGACAGCAGCACAGGTTTGGTGAGCACATCCCTCTCTGTCCTTCCTGCTCTCTTTGTAGCAATGCATGCCCCAGGCTCACAACCCAAAGGGTAAAACATAGAGGGGCTGAAGGGAACCACTCCTGGCCTGACAGCAGGTGTCCAGTCTGATCCCACAGCCTGCACCTCCAGATTCCACAGGTGCCAGTCCTGCAGCAGGAAAAGCTCTGCTGGGGTTATATTCCCTGGCAAAGAGAGGAAACATGGCTAAACATTTCCCAGAGATGTGGCCTCATAGCAATTAGTCTTTTGGATGGGGTGGGGTTTGATGTGACCATCAGAGAGGGTGGACAGCTTGTTCCGTGAATTCCCCTCAGAAAGTGGGGGGTGGTGGTTGCTGCTCCCCACGTCCTGGTCCCTGCAGCAGGGAGGGCAGCCCACCCATCCTGGGTTTGTCATCCAGGACAAGGACAAGCCCTTGGGGCAGGTTCAGGATGTGCAGTCCGACCTCTTTCCTGCATCCCACGCTTCTTTGGCAGCTCCCTCCTGTTGATGCTTGTGCTGGGGGAATTAAACACCCCCATCCCGTGTGCCTGTGCTGCAGCCCCACCTGAGCATGTCCTACCTAGAGTCTGGGGTATTTTACTATTGCCAAACTGCTCTATTTAATTCTAATAGAGGATTAAGTGGGAATAAAATGCAGTGGGCATTGGAGAAAAAAGGAAAACATGCACACTGAGAGAGTGAATGATTTATATTTTTCCTCTCCCTTGTTTTTAGGCCAGGCGAACACATTCCGTGGATATGAGCGTGAAGATCAGGTCCAAGTGTCAGCAGTCGGCAAGGAGGACATGCTAAGATTAGATCAGCCTTATGTAAGAGCTTGTAATAAATGTGACGTGTGGGGAGCTGCACCAGCTGCAGCGGGAATGGCCAGGACTCCAGAGTGGAGCAGTCCAGGGCCCCAGGTGCATCAGGCTGCATTAATAAAATACCAGGATTGCCATTTAACAGCTGACTGATCTAAGACCTCACACAGGTGCACACTGTTGCTCTGAATCCTCTCAATACCTCAAGCCCAAGAGGAATGGGATGGAAAGACCACTCAGGAGGCAGGATATGAATGATCAAGGGTTTTTTTTGTGTGGAACAAAATTAACATCAGAAAACCTGTCCCCCCCCCCGTTCCCAAGGTCCAGATGTGAGCCCACCCTGGCATCACACAGAATACCTGAGCACAGAGGGAGCTGGCAGCCAGCAGTCCTGCTCCCACCTTCCTAAAGGCCAGGCCTATGGCGGCCACCAGTGCTGGAGGGGGTCAGCCACCTCCCTGCTTCATGGAGTTTAATCCTCCATTTCCAGTTTAATGCTCTGTCTGGGTCTTATTTTCTCCTCTGGGGATGAGACACACTGGGGTTGGGTGCAGGAGTTCACACTGCTGGATGTGTACAGTAAGTACTCAAAACTATTGACACTAAATTCAGTGTTTTCTCCATTCACTGCCTGTGTCTCACCCCTTCTGAGAACTCAGAAATTCACTTGAATTCCAGGCTTTTGCTATTTCAGCACTGTTTAGAACTCCTGCCATACTTTAAGGGATATCAGCAAGGAAATGGGACAGAAGCTGCAGAGGAGGGGCAGAAGAGTAGAAGTTGGGTGGCTGAACATGCCAAGTGCTAAAAGGATGGAGGAGAGATGATTGCTGGTAGGAAGCAGTACCAACCATGTCCCGTATCTTGGCTCCAAGAGGCTTTTTAATGTAGTTCCAGCCAATCTAATGACTAAGGAATTAGTCATTAGTAAGGAATTAACCACTACCCCCTAACAACACCTGCCCAAACCCCAGTGCATTTGTCACTGCAATGCATGTCTTTTCTATGAGCTACAGGATATTCTGTGGTCTCGGAGACTGCAGGAGGGGCCAGTAGGAAAAGGAGTAAACACTCCTGTGACACCAGAACGCCACCACTGCTTTTTGGACTAGCAAAATCTCTTGAGGGAACAAAGTAACAAAGAATGATGTGGCACAAACCACGAAACCTCTCCGAACTGTTTGTGCAATTAAAATTTCTAACAGGTGAAAAGTGTCCCCTGGTTTTGATCGAACAGAAAGTGAAATGCCAAGTTTATTGTAACCATGTTTCCATGTGCGCAAGGCGGAGAGGTGGATCCAAGTGGCCCTAAACCTCTGTGTGATGGGGATTGGGCCCAGCCCCTAAAGCCCAGAGGGCGAACAGAACATTCACAGCTTGGTTTGGGGTGTCCCTGTGCAGACTTAAGCCCCTGGTCAGAGCCCTGAGCCAAGGAAATGCAGGGATGTGTTCACTGGTGGCCCACCTGCCCTGCTCATCACCCAGGGTTCCCAGGATGAGCCAGCCTGTCCAGGGCAAACAGGAAAGGGGAAATGGGATTTCAAGTGCAGCCAGATGTGAGGAATACCCACACTCCTGTTGGGTTTTGGGGAGCCATTGCTCAACAGCAGCACACACCCACACCACACACGTGAGGGTGAGAACACTCCCGACTTCTGCATGCAGACAACAGCTCTGGTTTGGGCAGGGGCTCCCAGAGTCCTGAGACTGCTCAGGTACACCTTGGGGCTGCCCCGTGTGACATTCCCAATGGAATTCTCCACAGCACAGGCTGAAGGGCTCAGACTGCTGTTTTAGTAACAGGAGATTCTAAACACCAAGAAGCTGCTTCCCATCCGACCTCCAAAGCACATGGGCAAGTGTCTTCACATTCCCCCTGAGAAGCTCCAGAAACACCATCAGGCACAGCCACTGTTTGTCACCTCTGTGCCACCTGTTCCCTACAAAGGGCTGCTGGAATACTGCTGGATGAGCCGCTGGTGGCAGGGGTTGCAGACACGCTCAGGGTTGATGCTGGACGGGAGGGGCAGCTCGTGCACTGAGCAGGCTTCACAGAAGGTGCCCCCACAGTTCTTGCAGATGTTCTGGAATGCAGGAAAAGGACAGAGCAGTCAAGGAGAGCTCCAGGTCTTGGCATATCAACTCAGGGAAGTGCAAACACTGAGCTAAAGAAGGGAAGAAGCTGCTACAGGGGAGGAAAACCAAACCACTGAACAGGGAACCATGACCCCATCAGCATTTAACAAAGTTATGTTAAGGGCAGAGGGGCCTGCAAGGGCTCATTTCTTAGAACACCTCACCAGCAGGAATCTGATTCCACAACAAAAAGCAGAGGGAACTCACAGTCACTGGGTGTGGGAGATGGCAGGTCAAGCCCAGGACTTGCCTTTCTTTGGCTCCGGCTGGCCTCCTCCTGGCAGAGCTGGCAGATCTCGGCGTGTCCAGGCCCCGACAGCTGCTCCTACAGCCCAAGCCAAAACCAAGAGATTCTGCTTTACACAGCTCCTGTGGCAGAGCTCAGCAGCAGCAAGGGGGGGAACTAAACATTGGGAACAAGCTGGCAGCAGCAGAAATTCCCAGTGGACAAGACAGCACAAGGCATACCAGTGGCTCTCTGGGGGTCTGGCTGTGCTTTGCCAGGTGCATGGAGGAGAAGGAGAGGATTTTAGTCCAGCTGATTTACAGGAAAAGAGCAAAACCACCAAGAAGGAGAATCACCCACCTGCTCTTCCTGTGTGCCACTGGGTGACCTACAAGGGAACAACAGCATCACTTGGAGCAGGCCTTCCCTCACCAGAGCCTTTAAATAAAACATCTGTGCTATCAGGGAATTCCCTCATCCCATCTTTAAAACCCTCCCCAGATTTTTGAGTAGCACTCCTGGTTCAATGGCAAAAGCAGAACAAAAATTTGCAAAATGCATTGAGGAGAGCAGGAAGACAGAGATCATGAACACAGAAAAGACTGTTGAGGTGCTACAGCACAACAGTTCGGCTTTAAACACAGGCCTGCATGTTTGATCCCTACCCCTGCTGTGAAATGCAGCAATAAAGCACCACAAGGCCTGTAAACCATCAACCTGACCCTCACTTGCCTAAACACTCCAGGTAAAATGGGTAAAAACCATCTCAGGCCTGGAAGGTTTTTAATATCTGGCAAAGCAGATGTGAACTGCTGAGGATATTTTCCTGATTAACTCATTGATTAACTCACTAATTAACTCAATGGACAGTGTGCCTCGAGGGCACAGCAGAGCCCTGACAGTCAGAGCACTTCCAATGCGCTGTTCCATCCCGAGCCAAAGCCTCAGCACTGAGCTGTGCCCAGGGGCTTTGAGAACACCTTTTATCTCCTAAAACCAAATACTCAAATCCTGCTGCAAGAATCCTCTGTAATAATTCCGTTTGAAAACAAGTGACCTGAACCACAATTTTACACAGCTATCATCTTAAAACCACACTTGAAGTTCTTTATCCAACAGCTTCTCTTTAGGTCTGAACACCCTTCTCCTTTCCCTCACCAAAGATACTTTGTCATTAGTCCCAAAGGTCCTGCATTTAGCTTACCAAGGATTCTTGAGTCAGAAGAATTAGCAAACAGCAGGTTTAGATGGAAAAGAATTCAAAGGTAAATTCTTTTCCCATCTGAAAGCTTTTCCCATCTGAAAGCACTGATGGCAAACAACAGAACCTGCTCCTTCCCTTGGAGAGCTATGGAAAAACAGCAGAGAACTCAACCAAGGGCATGAGGTTGCAAATCCTTCTTAAAAAGAGAAGTTGGACTATTCCCAACTCCCTGTTGGCACAGAAATTGGAGAGGGGAAAGCAGGACTTGGGAAAGGAGAGGCAGAGATGAGATTTGTTTCCTTCCTCACCTGTGTGGCAGGACACTGTTCTCTCTCAGCGGCTGCTTCAGTTTAGCATTTTCTTCCTGGACTTGGAGCTTCCCATCCTGCCAAAAAGAAACACTCACCCATCAGCTGCACTAGAGGAGAACTCCAGCTTCACTCCTGCCACACTGCAAGGGGAGAAGTGGCACTGCTATTCTGGGATACTGCTCTGCCCCTCCTTGGCACAGAGGGGTATCTGGGTCCCAGTTTCCCCTGGGAGAAGCTCTCAGGGCTTTCTCTCTCTGTGCCTCTCAGAGGTGGGCAGGAGTCCCACGACCTCCTGTTGCCAGGAGCCACAGCCACCAGTTCTTATTTGCAGAGCAGAGGCTGAGAACGAACATGGGCTTAAGAAGTTTTGTAAAAGCTGACCAGAGACAAACTTTCCCATCCAGCAAAGAAAAGAATCCTCTTCTTCTCCCCAACTGGGTCACAGCTGAGCCATGAGACCTAGAGCACTTCACTGAGATTGCGCAATACTGGTCAAAAAAGACAAAATGGTCTGCACCATTCAAGCAGACCAGAGAGAAGCAAGGAACTGCAGAAGCCATCTCTGTTACTGCATAGTTCTCACTGCAATTCAAACTGCCTGTCCAGAATGTATAAAAATCTTCCCAAAGCTGCTCTGGTTGTGACACATGAGCAACAACCATTTACTGCCTGAGAAAGCTCAGTAAAAGCAAACGAGCCAAGGGAAAGTGTACCTCAAACCCAAGCCAAAACCCAAGTCACATTACCTGTCTGAGCCAATTCTTTGGGCCTTTTTTGCTTTCTTGGCTGCGCTGGTGACTGTGAGACCATCTGTCTCTTTCCCGCCTTAGCTCCAGTTCTAGGTGGCTCCTGGAATGCCAGGTGGAATTATGAATAAAGGACAGTTTGGGGACACTTGGCATTGACAACTGATGAGTTGTTTGACCCTTTGTTCACACCCCTAACTCAAGAGCTAAAACTGCTTCTTGGAACCCAAGGCTGCCTTGCAGTGTGTTTAGCCATAATGTGTCAGGATGAAAAAATCTCCAAGTCCTTCATCTAATTCTGGCACCATTCAGCATCCAACTGATGCAAAACCAGACCCATTTTCCCTTGTCCTCCTGAGCTCACCCGTGCACACTCAGGACCTCACACCAATTGCTGACCAAAGCCACTTTGTCATCAGTTTTTGAAAAAAAGAGCAGCTTTTGAAAAAAAGAAATAAAAAGCTGGGCCAGGAGGGGAAGAAGGGACAAAAACCTCCATGCATCCAGCAATGCTCCCAGAGTTCATCCAAGTGACCTTGCAACAAGCCACAGATGGGTTAAGGCTGAAGGAGATGCTCTTCTCTTTTAAGGAAAGAGATTTGTCTGTGTCCCTGTCACTGCTCAAGTGATGAGGGTGCAGGGAAGAGGTGATGGCTTTTGACAAGGTCTCTGTTCGAGTTCCAGCAAAACTAAGAGCAGTTCCAACAGGGAAAAATCTATGTTAAAGTACTGTATGTCAGATAAATCAACCAAAATGACTGTCCTTGCTCCAGCACCTTCAGTGTTTGCTCCAGGCAGAGACTTGGCTGCTCAATCCCTGCCCAGGAGCAGCAAATTGTTAATGTCAGCTTTGACTTCCCAAATATCACAGAATCACAGAAGGTTTGAATTGCCAAGCACCTTACAGACTATCTTGTTCCACACTGTGCCACAGGCAGGGACACCTTCCACTGCATCAGATTGCTCCAAGCCCTGTCCAACCCG